GTCTGTTCCTGGCCTTTGCATGGCACGGCATCCGGCAGCAGCCCGTAATTTCATAATCAAATTTTTTTGATAATAAGTGCCTAGTATAATGAACCGAAAATGAGACGAACAGAACAATGCTTTTATGGATATAAAACACACCATGACTTCCTTAAATTGTGGTCGTCGGGCCATTTGAATAGTCGGGTTTTCGGAGTAGGCGTTCGGCCACAAACTACACATTGTGGATGAGAAGCGTTTGCATCTAAATGAAAATGCGACAAAATAAACAGTTACCGTCTGTGAGTCGGCTTGAGTCCTCGCGACTACAAAACCAACAACATTTCATACTTTATTCACGCTGCGCACCATTGGCTTGTTTTGTGCGAAGGCTCAACTCGAGCCACACAGACGGTGAATGCACACCATTTGAGCAATAAAACAATACTTCATTTCTGACACATTATAAGGATACAAAATGTAACTTCATGAGAATAACTAGTCACTCAGGTACTAACAGCACCGAAAAGATGTTCGAACAACAAAACTCAGTATACTTGAGCAAAGCTTCGCAGTCATGCCAAAGCTTTCTGGTTTGGTGCGTATGAAAACATCAGTTCTACTATTTTTGGAAATGAAGTTTCTCTACTAAAACGTACCCAAAGATTCAACTTCCTTGTAAGGAATCACCGGTAGTAACGCAGTCGATGTTGGACGCTCCTCATCCTCTTCATCCATTTCCTCGTAAGCGTCCTCTTCATCTTCGGTGCAAACATCATCCACTATCTATTTAAAGCAAAGGTTGTTGTCTGAGACATAATCTAGAAGAATTCGTACCGATATTGGCTCAATGACAACTGCATGTTCTTGACAAGGTGAGAATGTCCCATCAGATGCTGACCGTTTTCCAACGTACATTAAATTATATCTGCAGCAATCAGTATGTAAATCCAAATGTAAAAGTAAACGAATATAAAAGCAGAACTGAGCAATCACCAGTGTGTAGAAAAGAAAGACTGGTTAGTGCAAAGGCGCTTATTGCGCTCCACTACCACTAATGGCTCCATGGTAAACAAAGGGTCGAACCCAAAATTTTCTTACAAGAGAGAGGGTAGGTATGCAATTCTGCCGGCTAATTTATGCAGGTTTAAATTCTGCATTTTAATATTCTCATACGTCAATAAATATTATAAA